AGCAGGGGCCTGGCAGCCTTCCTTCCACCCGGGTCACCCTCACATTGAGTGAGCTGCATCACCTCCTCACCTTTGTTCTCCCACCTCCTCCTTTGTTTGTGGCCCTCTTTCCCTCCTACTCTGTTTCCTGGCCTTATTCCTCCCTGGCTTCCTGGCACACTAACCTCTTTGTCTCCTCTCCCCACTCCTCAAGTGACATTTTTTTGGTGCCCTCTGTAAACCCAAAGATGCCTGCCAGGGCCTTTCCTCCTCCTCGTTTCTTCCATCTCATCAAAAAAATGCACTTAATCTGGATTTCAAGTCTCCTTCTGGCACTTTGTTCTGTGTGCCCAAGTGGCCTGAGGGGCGATCCCTCCCCATGGGAGGGCTCAGCTGTCCTGAGGAAGGTTATGAGAGGCAGTTTTGTCAGGCCTGGCTGCATACTGCAGACCTGGATTTTGTTCCACGCCATAACCCCTCCCCCACTCTCCAGCAATTAATCAAAACTCATGTACTGACTGTGACCCCTTCATGGGTTTAGTCACCTCTGGAATGGATTCTCTGGGTGACATATAAGTAGATGATGTTTTCTAAGCAGCCAAGATCAAATTAGGGAGCCAGTACCCACAAAAGTCCACTCGATAATACAAGATAAAATATTTGAGTGAGAAACCTATGCCCCCAACTCAACTTCATGGCTCCAGTCTCCTTTCCGGAGAGCTGTCACCTCTGAGCCTCCATCTTGGCTGGTGGCTCCCCCAGCACACCCATCAGCCTGCAGGGCACTCACCGATGGTGGCCTGGCCTTTGGGACTCATCCTGCCCCACTGCTCTGTGTTAAAGAGCCTCCCCTGGCACATCCTCCCTCCTACTTGCAGTGAAGTAACACACTTTGCAGTTTAAGCTCCTCCCTGGTGGAGAAAAAGCAACCAAGGCATTGAAAAGTCAAGTTCTCTTCAGAGAGAGAACCAGAAGTCACCCCAGCAGAGTTTTTTGTTTATTCTGGAAAGCAAACACAGTCACACTCCCTGCCTTTCTGAATTCTCCTCCTGCCTCTTTCAGTGGGGATTCAAGATGCCCTCTACTCTGCAAGCTCAGTCTCTTGCCTTCTCCAGGGCCAAAGCTTTGGAGTCAGCACCCACTGCCTGAGTATTTCAGACAGCCCCAGGCCACAGGGAGCAGAAGGGAGAGTGACATTTAGAGGGCATGCAACATGAGAGAGGCTTGTTCTGCTTCCTTTGCTCCATTTCTTTCTGGGCAGCTCAGCTAAGCTGGCCCCTCTGTATGTGCGCCTACTTCAGGATCCAGCCGAGTCCGTTTCTGCCCGTCTGCTCACACGCCAGCCCTCTGCTGCTGCCCCAATGGCACACAGTTCCAGCCCAGTGGTTCCATTTCTGGTTTCTGGCTGGATTCATCTTTCAAAGCTTCAAACAGAACGAGAAGAAAATTCTCTCTCCAACTCTTGACACAGAGAAGGAACTCAGGAAATATGAGTTGAATTTGGTGAAGAATGGAAGGAAGGAAGGGAGTGAGGGAGGAAGACTTCTGCTCTTGGGAATGGCCTACCACCTCAGGACACCAGGCCCAGAGATTCTGAAAGCAACAGTTTCTTAAGCAGGGTATTTGGGGTGAGTGAACAGTGGGTGGGGAGAAGTAGAATAGAGGGGGTGAGTTGGCCCTGGACGCTCCAGGTCTGCCCCACTGAACTTCTCTCCAGGCCCTGGGAACGCCAGAGGTCCCTGCCTCGTTTTCATGTAGGCCGTTTCTTCTACCCGAGGTGCTCTTTCCTCTCCACTGCACTTTTCTCATTCCTTCTCCTCTAAGACCAGGTGTAAATTTCCTGCAGGGCCTTCCCACCCATCCTTTCTCAGAGGTTAGGAGCTCTTTTTACTTTGCCAGCCTTTCCTCACAGTCCTGGTTCAGCACTTGGCCAACTCTGTCTACATGTCTCTGCCTTTGACAGCTCCATTCATCCATGTATTCACTCATGCTTCATTTGTTGAGGGCCTACTGTGAGCCAGGAAGTGATCCAGCGGTGATGGGGAGAGACCTGGCTCCGAAGTGCTGCCAGGCAGTTCACAGTCCTGAGGGAGAAGGGGACTTCGGGAGCGGTTACAAGATGCTGAATGTTCTGAAGAGGAAAGTCAAGGTGCTATGGGAAGTATATATGAGGGAGGCGTACTTTAACCTGGGGTCAGGGGTGAGACAGAGAAGGATTCCCTAAAGATGGAACATTTCAGCTGAAGCCTGAAGAAGGAGGAAGCCACGGCCAGGGAGAGAGGTAGGGGTATGTGTGTGTGCATGTATATGTGTGTATAAGTGAGTGAGTGTGTGTGTTATGCCAGGTGGGATGAACCCAAGGAGAGCTAGGTAGCTGGTGGAGGGAAATAGCCTGGAGATTCAGGAAAAGATCAGGGAAGACCAGGAGGGGCATGTTCAGTACCAGCTCCTGAAAGGGAGGGTCTGTGATTTATTTGCTTTTGTATTCCTGGGGCCCTGCAGAGTAACAGGTGCTCAAGCAGTGTTTACTGAACAAATAAAGAAATGAAAATACATTAGTTTAAAGAAACAGAATTTAAACAGGACATGGGAATCTGAAAAATGAAACAAACCACCTCTTAAAGCCAGCTGTGCCACCACAAGGGCCATTCCCACGTTAGTTGGGAGCCCAGGAAGCATCAGACCCATCTGGCTGGCACAAGGACAGGTTTGTCACGAGCTGGTCAAATTTACCAAGACAAGTGTGCCGTCGATCCAAAGCAGACCTATCTGGGGCCAGTGTGGGGAATCTAAGTGACGTCTGCCAGGCTGGGAACTTATACCGCAGGGGAGTCTAGCAGACAGTGACCCAGCCAGGGGCTGTCTTGACACCACTGATCAGAGAGGGGGCTCTCTGCTACTCCTGCAGTCACGTGGACTTCGGAGACTCAGTGCTTCTCAGAGCCAGGGAGGAACCTAGGAATCATCTTTCCAGGACTAATTTTACAGATAAAGACACTGAAGCCAAAGAGGTTGAGTGACTTACCCTAAGTTTGTGGTAGGACCAGGCCAGGTCTCAGGTCTTCTGACTCTACATTTAGTCCTCTTATTAGTACATTTAAAGGGAAGAAAGGAAGAAGGGGGGGGAGAGAAGGGAGGGAGGAAGGGAAGAAACTGCACTGTGGCCATTTCATAGGGACTGAAATGAAGGGCCGAAGTCCATAGCCAAGGGTGATGGGAAATACAGTGCATTGTAACATACTCCTAACCTGGGTTAAGACAACATGTTGGAAGGGAATGAGTGAGAATGCAATCCTCATCTTCCTCAGCTGAGGGCACAGTCTCTGGGAAGTTAGTTTCCACCATAGATCCAGGATGCCGTTGTCTGCAGTTGGGATCACAGATTTTCCTACATAAGTCTGTTTCATCGTTAACCTGTAGCTAGGAGCTGGGATCTAAAACAAAATAGCCAAAGTCTGAGTCCTTGCTCTTCTATTATTTCCCAATATTTTTACCTCCTTCTAGTAATAGAACTCCTTATTTTTTAGCTGGCACATGGCTGCCTAGAATAAAGATTTCATTTCCCCAGCTCTTCGTGGCTAAGAGTTGCCTCCATGACTAAGTTCTGATAAAGGCATGTAAGCAGAGGGATCAGGTGCAGCTTTGGGAAGTCAACTCAAAGCAGTCATTCTCTATCTGAGGAGATTTTGCTCCCCCACCACCCAACCCAGGGAACATCTGGCAACATTTTTGATGGTCATACCTGGGAAGGAGGAAGTTACACTAGTATCTAGTGGGTGGAGGCTAAGAACACCGCTAAACATCCTACAATGCACGTGACAGCCCCCAATGACAGTGAATTATCTGGTCCAAAATGCCCAAGTACCAAGACTGAGAAACCCTGCCTTAAAGGGAGGGACATGCTCATCTTGCTCCTTCCTCCATACAACTGGCTGGAGTCTGAGCTGGCAACTTTGACCACAAGTTGGAAGTCACATGTTAAGGATGGTGAAGCAACAAGATAGGAGTCTTGGATGTTGATGCTCGGGAAGCTGCCTTATCAGCTGCTTTATCAGATGGCTCACCTCCAGACTTTATCACCTTAAACAGAATAAAGTTGTAGTTCATGTAGACCTACGTTGCTTTGAGTTTCGTGTCACTTACAGCTAAATCTGATACAACTTCCACCCTCTTGTCCCTCCTCCATTCCCTCCAATTTCAGTGAGTCTCGGTCCACCCATTTCTGGCTCCTGGTCTTTATATTCCTTTGTGCTCTCAGGTTTCACCTCCAGACTTACTGAAGGGCTATATTCACCATTTTTCACTTTTATCTACTTTTAAATTCTGGCATTTGCTCCAAGATCCACCTTATTGCAGCTCTGAGACTATCAGGTCCTGCTCCTTGCAGAGTTCTAGCCAATCAGGCTCTCACCAGCCCTAAGACTATGCTGTGTCAGTTGGGTTCTAAACATTTCTTTGTAACCCAGGTTGTGATGTGGAGCCACGTTCTCCCGAACTAGGTGCTGTTTCTAGTGCCTAGTGTAGTGTGAGTGCCAGCCGGGCAGAATGGAGACTTCACTGATGGGAGTGAACCCTGGGCCTTACAGGTGCTACCAGCTGGGTATCAACCCTGGTCATACCGCCGCTGAAGAATCAGTCCGTTCACCCAAACATCCATGTACTCTTTCAACACCTGCATGAGTCATATTCAAGGGTCTAGCATGGAAACTGCTAGAACGATACCCTCTAGATCTTTCCATTTCTCATTACTGTTTACCACAGGCTTAAGAATGACAACCACTTGGCTACCAAGTAGGATTTCCCAGTGAAACAGAGGGGAAGGGCTGGCCCTCTCTTTACACCTCTTCATTGATTCTGGTGGAGGACGTGATATTAACTAGGTCTTTCCTTTCTGGGGTTTTAAAGTCTGCTACTGGCAAGCTGAGTAAAAAGTCGTAGTGAACCCACCACTATACAAATGACTTCCCAGTTACACAATCACGCTATCAGGGATATAAAAACAAATCATTTGTATTCAAGGAAAGATACTCCAGAACAAGAAGGGCAATTTCAGCCAGCATATTTGCCACTGCTTGAGATTGTTGACCGGACATCTTGAAGATATAATGAAGTGCGTATGATGGATCACTTCAAGGGGGAAGTGGGCAAGAACCTGTGGGCAAGAACCAAAGAATAGTAAAACAAAGAGCATCCCTGTTTGCCTTCTTCAGATGGACCCTTTCAGACACTGTGCATTGGTCTGCTCAGCCTCTACCATTTTCCGGTCTATCTTCTTCACACCACCCAGTCTGTGTCCTAACCCCTGCCCATTACGCTAGTGTGTAAGTTGGCCCTAGGTTCAATAATCCTTTCCAAATGCATCCTTCCTCCCTAATTACCCTTCTCAGGATGCGATCTCTCTCTCCCTGGAAGTTTCATAGTATTGTACCTATCTCACTTGGAAACTTTTTTCACCTTGCATCACAGTTGGGTAGCTATCACATTTCTATTAGGCTGTAAGCCAGGCACATGGCTTTTTTTCTTTGTATATCAACTAGATCCTCAATCACTCCTTGCTGAAGAGATGAAATCATAGGAAAACACCAAGTATGAACTCATCGGGATGAGATGAAAGTCTCCCTAACCATCAGCCCCCATTTTATTTAGCCTGTGCAGTCTTCTAAATTTGTCATTCTACAGCACATCCACACTCATGCCAAAACAAACTAGTACCTTCCCACTGCCTATTGCATTAAATCCACTTTCCTCATCTTGAATCAAGCCTACCCTTATCCCCTTTGTCACATCTAGCTTGTCCTTCCTGCCCACCGTATCTTCCTCATCTCCAACTGTGTTACCATAAGGACTCATCTATTCCTCTTTGTATCTCACTGTCTAAATTTCTTCATCCTGGAAATTTTCATTTTCTTTCCCCTATTCCCACATTGCCATTTAGTATAGTTTGATTATTGGATTGGTCAAAACTTGGCGTTAAGATTTTTTTTAGGATGAAAATGCCCATCATTTAAGTATGGTGAGTAGATTTTTGTCTGACAAGAGATGAGTCTTTGTAGCCCTTTAGGGGTGGACTACACCTTTGTTTTGGCAAACTATGTACTGGAGGTGGATGAAAATAAGAATCCACCTAAGGTTCTTGGGAGAGAACTGTGAGGAAATCATGAAGCTGAAGGTAGATGTTTTCAGTCTGAGAAACTGAGGGATCTGTTTGGTAGCAGACATGATGTCTATAGTCAAGTAGGAGTAGGGTAGGGAGGTAGAGAATGTTTCTCGGGTTGCAACAAATTTAGCTCACACTGTACCTGAATTTTGGTTTATTCCTGCAAGATGTGGAATTTCTTTATTGAGAGTTGCTTGCTAAGAACACCAAAAAGTTGTTACATACTTATCATGTGCCAGGACTGAGATAGAATTTTATAAAGATTAATTCCTATAATCCTCACTACTTCAGGATTTTTCATATGAGGAAGAGAAGGCTCTGAGAATGTAAGAATTATGTCCTGCAAATAAGAGGTAGAGCCAAGATGTGAACATTAGGAATTGGACTCCATAGCCTGTGCTCCTGACCTCTACTACTAGAGTTTTTTTTTAAATATTTATTCTTAAAAGAATTTATTTACTTATTTTTAGAGAGTGGAGAAAGGAGGGAGAAAGAGACTAAGAGAAAGAAACATCATGTAACACTGATCATGCATCCTGACCAGGGACCGAACTCACAACCCAGGCATGTGCCCTGACTGGGAATCGAACCAGGAACCTTTCACTTTGCAGGACAATGCCCAACCCAGTCACCCCAAGTAGGGCTCTTTGTTTTGCTTTGTTTTTTTAAATCTCATCCTTTTAAAATTTAATTTTGGGCTATGTTTTATAATCAGCATAATTATTAAGTGCTTATTATTTCCAAGTGCAAACTCAAAAATATTTTATCTGTAATGTTGTGCAATCAAATTTTGCTACTTTTTCATATCTTGCATTATTTGCTTATTGCTTCATATTCATAGGTCACATTTCCCTGATGGTATTCAAAGTCTCCTTGAATTGTGTCTTAAACTTCCACTCTGTCTCCCACAATAGACCCTACTGTATCATCCTTAAATACTCACTGAATTGTATTAGACTGGTGCTCCAACTACCTTCTCCCTTTGGAGCAAAGCTAGTAAAAATACATAAAAATATTGTAGATTTCTAGATCTAGAGAAGACTGAGGCTGCTTCCAAGCACTGCAAATAGAAAAACATCATAACTTAATTCTCCTGTACAAACATGAAAAATGTTATTGCAGACTCTCAGAGGTATACAGTGGACTTGAACTTTAAAACACCAAGATGAAGTAGTATTTAATTTAGGGTTTTGCTGTCCAGGGAACTCAGATTGCAGTTGGGCAGAGATCAGCCTGTTCATAGGTGGTTATAGTCCATGCTTTGGCTCCCTCTGTTGGCAAGAAAGAAGTGGTCATTTTTTTACTTGCAGGAATGATTGATTTTGGTTGTATAATGGCTGCTGTTTCACTGTATTTACTGTTTGTATTGCCTGAGAATATTTAGCTCAGATTTGGCAAAGGGGAAGACAAAACCTACTGGATTTTCCCCCTCAGATGGCAAGGAAATACACATTTTCATTCCTTTTACAGGTTAACATTGCTGCTTCAGAAGCCAGACTCACTATAACCCACTTGTTGTCAGAGAACACACACAGCCCTTGTTCTGCTGGAGCTTTCCTAGTCTTCTAACTGTAGGGCGTGAAAAGTACAACCCTGATTACTCATAGGGTTTGTCACATAACCCCGTTTTTCCCACACAGTCTGCTGACCCTGTATTTTGCTAATGTTTTCCGTGACATGAGGGGTGTGGTCTCAACCAGTGATAGGAATCACATATCTAAAATTCTGTTTGATTCATTAATTGGAATTAAGGATATACATACCTTTCCTTAACAAGGAAACAAGGTTTCTTTCCCAATTCCCCTTCCTGAAACTTTTTTGTGCTTAAATCATTACTTACTCACGTCAATGACTCATCATTGGAGAGTGGCTCCAACACCTCCAGGCCAAATTCCTCTGTACATATTCCTACAGGAATCTCACCCACCCCCCTTCTGCTTTGTGCAATTCCAAAGATCACTGAAGACTCTTAGATGGCACCAGTGCTTGACACATTGCAGAGTTCAATAAAAATTTGTTTAAATAATTAAAGTCATATTGTTTTAATGGCCAGTTTTGTGCATGTGAGATTTCCTCCATGCACCTGAAGGTATGAGTTTTCTTAATCTTAAAGCATAATAATGCTACACATAAAATGCATGTTGTCAATGCATGTTGTATTAAGGTGGAATGAAACAGGCCTGGCAGAAATCAGGTCCTTGCCACTTACTGTTTGGAGAGGCAACCCACCAAGGACCCTTCCCATCCTTGCACATTCTCGCAGTGAGCAACCTTGAAGGATGAGGGAATAAAGAGCAGGCTTGTTTATGCTTGCTGTAAAATAGTGGGTTCCCCAAGCTTAGCATTTCTCTCCTGTAATGCAACCCATTTTGTGTGCAAGCATACATCTGGGCCTATCTGCTTGGCTTCTGTGAGAACTAGGGTTCAGAGAACCTACACAAACACGTTGGCAGGCGGGCTACTGCTTTTGCTTCAACTCTTTCATCTCTGATCCAGCAGGCTTGCGTTCTGTCAGCATCCAAGAAATTGTGGCAAGCTGACACATTAGCCTGAAAGGAGGGTAAAATCTGAGATTCTTCACAGTTCTTGATACTAGCTAGTCCGTACACAGTATATTTAACCTCTTTTGGCGGAAGTTTCCCGTTTTTCTAAAGGGGACAATAGTACCTGCTGATAGTATTGTTGTGGGGTTAGATAAAGTAAGAATGTAAAAATACCTATGGCAGTAGGATCTTCCTGGAAGTTCCCTTTTTCTCTTTACAACACTGACTGAGACTAGCTGATGATGCTACACAGGAAGGAACAGCGTCGTAGACCACACAGCGGGCTGTGGCTGATCCTGTTTCGGTGCAGAAGTGGGTAGTGGACCAGGCTGCAGAATGCGCACAGCAGCAGCCCTGCAAAATTTACGCAGTTGGGCTTGGAACGCTGCAAACTGATTGGAGCTGGAGACCAGGGGTTTTGTCTTGCAGCAGTGGTTGCATAGCAACCAGGCTGTTTTAACTTGGGTTATCGATTTCTAGTGGCTTCGGGTTTTACCGATGGGGATTACTGGGGCACTGAGGAGCCCCCTCGCACCCCCACACCAGAAATAACTCCCCTTATTCGTGACGACAGCTCTGGTTCCACCACACGCCACCCCCGGGAAACACCGCGGCCGCCCGCACACGCATGCTCCCGGCTCCCCCACGCGAGCTGTCAGCTTCACGGGTGCCGCCCACGCAGCCGCGAGCTCCGGAAGCGCGGGCTCCGGGCGGCTGCGCGGCGCCCGCGGGGGCCACTCTCGGGGCTTGGATGAGTTTTCGGAGGATGCTGCGACAGGGGGCGCGTCGTCCCCCTCAGTCCACCAGAGCCCGGATGCCTCAGAAATTCGGCTCTGGGTCTGTGGGGAGCGAAATGCAACCCAAACCCCTTTTACCGAGCCCTGCGCAAATAAATACTCGCAAGCACGCACAGACGTCTCCTCCGCCCGCGCTCATAGGTGCGGGCCTTGGCCGCGGGCAGCCAGGGAAGAGCCGGGGACCGCGCGGGGCCGCCGCTGGGGATCGTCCGCTAAAAGGTACGCCGTAAGTGCCCGGCGTTACCGGCCCGACTTAACGGCGCAACGGCCGGCGTGGGGCCTGCGTTGGCCGCGGCCGGAGACCCGGTGGGCGGGGCGCTCAGGCAGGAAGGGAGCCTGAGGGGAAAAGCGCGGATGTGATTTGTCCTGCGCGGCCAGGTACGGCGTCTCGGGCGGCCCAGAGACTGGGCTGCGGCTGCCCTCTGATCAACCAGTCGTCACTTGGCGGGCTTGCGGAGCCGTTTCGTTCGCGGGACGCGCCGACCTCTTTGAGAGGCGGTCGCCGGGGGAGGACGGGTGCCTGCGGCCCACATTTGGTGGCGGCTGCTCTGCCTGGCGGTGGCCTGGCCTCCGCGACTTGGACAGCTGAAGGGTTGTTTGGAAGGGCGCGGAGTCGTCGCCTCTGGCTTAATGTAGCAGATGCGCGAAAACTCCAACAGGTGGCTCCGTGGCGCAATGGATAGCGCATTGGACTTCTAGAGGCTGAAGGCATTCAAAGGTTCCGGGTTCGAGTCCCGGCGGAGTCGTAGCCTTTTCCCCAGCGTTATCATCTCTTTCACCTCCTTTTCCTAAATCGTTTAACTCTCTATTTACTTATTTCGACATCTACCTCTCCACCCCCATCCACCACCACTGCATTCGGCCTCTGCAGAACTTTTACCTGTAGTTAATCATGCGGGCCCCGCAGCACCCTAGCTGCCCGGAGTTGGAGTCTCAGGGCCTGCGTATAGCCGACTCAGAATATGCTCCAGGGACTGGGAACAGCGTCCCTGGGCGGCGGTGGAGCAAGGCCTAGCGCTTTGGCCTTAAGGGAGAGCGCCAGGGAGGCCCGGTGCCCGGTGTTCTGGGAAAGCCGCTCCCACGCCCCAGGGTTGATACTCCCTTCCCCTAAGCGCTTCTGTAGCACCTCGGGAAGGGCGAAGGAGGACGGGGAAATGAGTCTGCTCCCGGTGCTGCTCTGTGCGGGGTAACTGCCCCTTCCGCCCAGAAGGCTTCGCAATGATTACTTACGGAATCCCCTGTGGGATCCTCTCGGAAATGCAGCTTTCTGGGCGTCACTCTCGGACTGTAATTCAATCAATTAAAGGCGGGACCCAGAGTGTGTTTCTGATAAGAATGCCCTCTCCCCTCCCTAGGACTCCAGTGTAGAGGTCGGAGGTCTGCTCTGCCAGTCAGCTCTTCCAGGCAGAGATTACTCTCTGTACCTGGTCTGACAACTCAGAGCTTTGCACAATATTAGAATTTCACCTCACTGAATGAGAATTCATTAATGAATGAGTGGAATTTTAAAAATTCATTGTAACAAACAAACTCAATTTAAGGCAAAAATACAAACCCCAAAATTGTCAAAAAAAGGTACAGGGAAAAATAAACATCCTTGTCGTTCCTATATCCCAGCCTTGCAATTCCCTTTATAAGCCTTAGTGGAAATAGTTTACTGGAAATATTTACAGATTTTATGCACATCGGCATTTTTATATCTGTTGTCTCACTGTGTATTTATTGATGTCAGGGACGTAAGTGGTACATAATTGGTAGTATACTATACTTATTCTTTCACTTATTAGGTAGATCGGCCTTGTTCCATTGTACATATGTATCACAGCTCCCAATTGTTTAGCATTTAGGTATCTAGTCTTCTCCTGTTACAAACAATGCTTCAGTGAACATCCTTGTTTTTACATTATTGTACATAAGTGCAAGTATATACCTAGAAGTTGAATGGCTGAGTCAAATGTTCGTGCATTCTTTTGATAGGTATTGCCAAATTGCTCTCAGAGATTGTACCATTTTTTCTTACCAGCAATGTGTAAGAGTGCCCATTTTCCCACAGCCCAAATGTTATCCAGCAGGTGAAAAAAGATTTCTAATTGTAGTTCCAATTCACATCTTTTATTATGAATGAAACTGAGCATCTTTATATCCATAGAATAACATATTTCTTTTTTGTGATATATTTAAAAATTCATTTGTCTTTTTTTAATTATAGATTTTTTTGTATTTATTTTTAGAGAGGGAAAGGGAGGAGAAAGAGAAACATCAGTATGATGACACTTGCTTGCCCTCAACCTGGGACCTGGCCCCGCATGGGGAATCCAACTGGTGGGTACCCTTTGGTTAGCAGGCTGGTACTCAAGCTACTGAGCCACACCAGCCAAGGCTCATTTCGGTCTTTTAAATTATTTTTTATTATATGGATTTTAGAGACAGAAACACCAATTTGTTGTTCCAATTATTTACACATTCATTGGTTGATTCTTGTATGTGTCTCTTACTGGGGATCAAGCCTGCAACTTCACCATCAGGGTGATGTTCTAAACCAGCTGAGCCATTTGGCTAGGGATCTTTTTTGTGATTTATCTGCTGTGGTTTTTCTTGAGTTTTGCTATTGCATCATTGGTCATTTTCTTATTGACTTATAGTTCTTTACCTGTTAAGGAAATCAGCCCTTTGTGATTATGTTATAATTATTTTTTCCAGGTTATTTGTCTTTTGATTTTGTTTATGGTATTTTATATTTTGTCTTATAGAAATTCAATATATTTGGATTTATCACTCTTTTATGGCTTGTAGGTGTGGGGTTATACTGCCTTCAGAATATTAAATAATTATATCGTGTTTCATTCTGGTGTTTTTACAGTTTTACTTTTATATGTAAATCTTTACTTCATCTGGAAAGTATTTTTTTTATAAAGAGGGAGGTAGGAGTTTCATCCAAGAAGCACTGATGATGACTGCTCCTCCTTTCCTACACTAATTTGAAATGCCCCCTTTATCATTTTCTAAATTCCCGTATACGTTTGGGTTTGTGGATCTTCTCTTCTATTCCATTGATCTGCCTGTCTTAATTCTGATTGGCCAGAATTGTGCTACTTTAATAACACAGTAGGGCCAGTTCTCCCTCATAACTTTTTTTAAAGGCTTTTTTTTTACCATCTATTCTTGAATTATTATTTTTCCCACATAATGTTAATAATTAACACTTATTTAGTATTTGTTATATACCAGTCACTATTCTGAGTGCTTTATGCATTAAAATGCATTTAATCTTCCTGACAGCCCTGCCAGGTAGATATTGGTATCCCCTTTTTTGGAAGAGGCATGTGAGACTCAGTTACGTAACTTATCTAAGGGTACACAGTGAATAATGAACAGTGTACCAGGACGAGAACCTAGGAAGCCTGGGTCTGTGGGTGAAGTTATAGATCTGTATTGTCTTTTCGTATGAGCTTTAGTTAAAGCTAGTCTGGCTCTAATTTCTAATCTTGGGAGATATTTATGTTAGAGTCATGCTATTTATTGATTAATATAGGGAGAATTGAACTAATTATGATGTTGAGTCTTCCTATTTAAGAGTAGCAGGGAAATTTTTTTTCTTTTTTTAAGAATACCTATATCTGCCCTGGCTGGCATAGCTCAGTGGATTGAGCGCGGGCTGCGAACCAAAGTGTCGCAGGTTCGGTTCCCAGCCAGGGCACATGCCAGGGTTGCAGGCCATGGCCCCCAGCAACCGCACATTCCTGTTTCTCTCTCTCTCTCTTTCTCCCTCCCTTCCCTCTCTAAAAATAAATAAATAAATCTTTAAAAAAAAAGAATACCTATATCTTTCCATTTGTTCAGCACTTCTGTGCTCTTAGGAGAGTGTCAAAGTGTTCTTTATATATAGTTTGAGTTTTTTAAACTACTCCTGGATAGTTTTGTTGTTGTTTTTGTTGGGATCTTCCCTTATATTTTCTAACTGGTTATGGTTCTGTATATTAAGGTTTTTGATATTTTAAATAATTTAATATCCAGCCATCTTATTGAATTATTTTACTACTTAAAATAGTTTTTCAGTTCAAAACCACAGTGAGATACCACTTCACACACATTAGGATGGCTGAAATAAAAAAGATTGACATTAATAATTGTTGGCAAGGTTTAGAAAAATTAGAACCCAATACATTGCCAGTGGGGATGCAAAATGGTGAGTTGCTGTGGAAAACTATTTGTCAATTCCTCAAAAAGTTAAAAATAAAATTACTGTGTGACCCAGCAGTTCCACTCATAGGTATTATATATACTCAGGAGAATGCAAAACATGTCCACACAAAACATGTACATCATTGTTCACGGTAGCATTATTCTTAATGGTCAAAAAGTATAAACAACCCAAATGTCTGTTAACTGATGAATACATAAATGAAATAGCTACATCCATATAATGGAATGTTATTATATTATTTGGCAGTAAAAAAAAACAATGAAGTACTGATTCATGTTGCAATATGCATAAACTTGGAAAACATTATTCCAGTGAGCTTATGAAAGGAGCCAGTCACAATGAGACTACATATTGTATGATTCCATTTATAGTTGACCCTTGAGCAATGCAGGAGTTAGGGGTGCAAACCTCCCCTGGCTATATACACCTACAGTCGAAACTCTATATATAATTTTTGACTTCCCCAAAACTTAAGTTGTCCCTCAAGTATCTGTGGGGGATTGGTTTCAGGACACCTGGCAGATACCAAAATCCACAGATGCTCAAATCTCCCATATAAAATGGCATAGATCACTCTGGCTGGTGTGGCTCAGTGGATCGAGTGGCGGCCTGCTAACCAAATTGCTGGTTCTATTCCCACTCAGGGCACATGACTGGGGTGGCGGGCCAGGTCCCTTTCGCACACTGATGTTTCTCTTCCTCACTGTCTCCCTCCCTTCTCCTCTCTCTAGGAATGAATAAATAGAATCTTTTTAAAAATTGCATAGATCAGTGTATGCAGTCAGCCATCCATATCCACAGACTTCCAACCATGGATTGAAACAGTACAGGAATTTATTGGAAAAAAAAATGCTTCTAAGTGGACCTGTGCAGTTCAAACATGAGTAGGTCAAGGGTCAACTGTATATTAGATATCCAAAACACAGAAAGTAAGTCAGTGGTCGTCAGGTGCTGGGATGTGAAGTCACTGCTAATGGGTGTGGGTTTTTTCTAGGGGGGGGGTGATGAAAATGTTCTGGAATTAGTGGTGATAATTGTACAACCCATAATATATAAAAACCTACTAAACTGTACACTTAATTCCTTATTTCTTAAAGGTTTTATTTTATTTTATTTTTAGAGAGGAGAAGTGGTGGGGATAAAGAGAGGGGGAGAATCATCAATGTGTGGTTGCCTTTCCAGTGCCCCCCACTGGGGACCCAGCCAGCAACCAGGCATGTGCCCTAATGGGAATTGAACAGGTGACTGTTTGGTTCATAGGCTGGCACCCAATCCACTGAGCCACACCAGCAAGGGCTGAACTGTATGCTTTTTAAAGGGGTAATTGTATGGCTTACATCTCAATTTTAAAAAAGGAAAAATAGTTTTTCATTTGACTAAGTTGTATTTACTGGAAATATGTTTTCAAAGGAGACCAAATGATATTTTTACCTTCTCCTTTCTAATTTTTATGTCTCCTGTTCTTACTCTTGTAATAGTATCAGCTAGTACATCTAAAAAATGTTAAGTAAGTTTTCATGGAAATGGTGATAGTGGGCTGACTTTTCCTGTTCCTGACCATTCTGGGAATGCTTCTCCACTAAGCTTTTGGGTGCACACATGCACATATTTTTATCCCCTTAGGAGAATACCTATCCCTATTTGTCAGTAATCTATGGAGATTTTTCTCCTTTGATCTATTACTATTGTACAATATACAGATTTGTATTTTTTACATTCCTGAAACAAATCCCACTTGGTTGTGGTATATATCTCTTTTAATCCTAATATTTTGCATATGTAGAAAGATTGACATTTAATTATCTACCATAATGCAGCATTGTTTAGAATGGTCCCAAACTGGAAATAACCTAGACGTCTGTTAATAATGATCTGTTCGAAGAAGGTGTGGTAGAGTCATATAATTGAATACAATGCAGACCTTTGAAAAATGAGGAAGATCGATGCCCTGGCTGGTGTGGGTTGGTGGGTTGAGCACCGGCCTGTGAACCGAAAGGTTGTTGGTTCTATTCTGGGTTGGGACACATGTTGGGGTGCGGGCCATGTCCCCAGATGGCCCCACTGTGAGAGGCAACTGATCAATGTATTTCTTCCTCTCTTTTTCTCTCTCTTCCCCTCTCTAAAAATAAATAAATAAAGTCTTTAAAAAATAGTGAAGAAGATCTATATATCCTGCTATGGAAAGTGTCCAAGGTTAATGAAAAATCTGATATTAAATGAGTATATTCAATATGATTCCACTTGTGTTAAATAATACAAATAATAATAGTGATAGCGTGTATTACTATGAGTGTGCACAGAAATATCTGGAAGCATATACAGATAACAGTGCTGGGGCAAGAGGGGCAGTAGTAATGTTTGAGTCGTTTTCATAATACGCCTACCTTTTTCATAATAAGCCTACCTTATCCTTGTAATAAAAAGTTAATTTTAAAAAGGTAAAGGTAAATACCTGGGGAAAAAAAGGTACAGGTTAAACACCCTAATGCTAGTGAGGAAGGGGAAAAAAGCATTTTGTGCCTATCCTTAGATCACTTGCACATGGCAGCCCTGATAGTGCTTATCCATTAAATATTTTCTAACTTGATTTAGCATTTATTGACCCCTTACACCCTGTATGCTGGATCTCAGCCATAAGTACACCTTTTAGTAGCTCTTTTGTGCTAAGAGTGGAGAAGCATGTGAACAAGATTTACAGAATGATCCCAGCAGGTATTGTGTCCCGAAGGTCGTATACACCATGTTAAGGAATGTAGACTTCACCCTAAAGGCAATGGAAAACCACTTTGTAGCTTTTAGGTGGGAAGCGAAGTGTGTATGTGTATCTTGTATCATTCCTCTGGCTGCTGTGTGGATCCCTGCCATGTGGAATAGGAAGACCAGAGGCCGGAATACCAGCTCCAGGGCAGCTGGAGTCACCTAGGTAAGAGAATGATGAGGGCTGGAACTGGGAGGTGTTTGAGGAGACATGTAAGTGTACACATTGGAGACATATCAAGGGAGGCTGGATTGGTGGGACTTAATTGCTGAGCTAAGGGATATATGCAGGAGGGGGATGGAATAGCCAGAAAAGCCTCCCATTTCTAATTAGGGCAGATGGGTGGATGCTAAAATAGTCACAGAGGCAGTGAAGACGTGGGTTTGATGGAAAACTGAGTACAAGTACAGATTTGCCTGTGTTGAGTTTGAGGTCTCTGTGAAACATCCTGGAGATGTACAGTGGCAGTTAGAAATGCCATGCCAACCACAGAGCAAGCTCTCAATAAATTTATTGAATGAAAGAACTAAAGGAAGGTAGGTATGTGGAAAGAGGGGAGGAACAGAAGGTCTGGAGCTCAGGAGACTGATCTAGGCTTGAGATTAAAAATTCATTATCCTGCAAAAGGCTCTGGACATAGATGAGATCATTATCCACTTAAGACTCTGGGCATAGATGAGATCATGCAGGGAGAGTGTCGAGTGAGAAGAGATGACAGTGAGGACAGAGGTCCAGAGCAGAGACATTTGAAGGATAGGCAAAGAATGAGGTCTTCAAAGACACCAAGAGTGCAGCCAAAGAGGAAGAACAATAGGAGAGTGTTACCTTTACTGATGCAGCAGGTCTCCGGTAGAGAAGGGAGTCAAGAGGAAGAGGGAAACAGCTCATATTTTTCTAAACACCTGCTTTATGCCAACAACTTTAACACTTGCCATTTAATTATCTCCCAAATGCTAAGTACAAATTACCCTCATTTTACAGATGAGAAAATTATGGTTCAAAGATGTTATGGGAATAAGGTAAAAGGATTAGCTTAGGAATGATGGACAAATGCCTGCTTTTCTGAGGCAAGTAGGAAGAGGGCAGAGAGAAAAGCATGAAGGTGAAGGGAAAATCAAAGGCGCTCATTTGAGGACCTATTTTCTTTGTGCTCTCTTTACAGCTCTGCTGCACACCCAGGATTCCAGAAAGGTATTGACAAAGTGGGACCTGCTACGAAGGGTGGAGACGTTCCATCTTATTGCCACTTGTGGCCAGTACAGACTCAAGACCAGGGGCCAGGAGTGGTTTCATTTCCACTTCCTGCTGATCTGGGACTTTCTAGATCCCATTAGGTGGTACTGAGTGGCACCTCGGAGATGCTGGCCTTGATTACTGGCCACTTCACCTGTAGCAGCCCATGCCCAGTTCCCTGAGGTTCCTGGGTCAAGCTTTTGCCACCCCCAGCCCCCATCTTACACCCAATGTCCCATAGTTCTTGTGTACCAAATGCCTTTGGTTCATGTACTGTGCAATCAGAAATATCCAGGCTTATTTTTTTCTGGTTTTTTATTCTCCAGCTTTCAGTACCAAAGAGGCTATGCTGAGGTAGGTAGTGGGCACTGCCCAGAAAATGTATTTCAATAAAAGCAGAAAACATACATGGTACATGTAAATACATGGCATATGTGTGTGTATATATATATATCTATATCTTCATTCACCTTCAATTTGATGCCTATTTTTTGAGTACTGGCTTTGTGCAAGGAACTATATTGGAAGGAAAAACTGAAATCAGTTGCATTTTCTTCGAGTTCATCCTGGTGAGGGACAGAGAGCCATGGATTGGTGAGTCCATTAGGATTGGCTCTGACTGAGTGACAGGAAACTCAAAACAGCAGTGGATTTGGCTAGAGGTTTCTTTTCTCTCATATGCAAGTCCAGGGAATGACAGCTACTTCATCATGAGGATAGAGGCTCCTCCTCATTGTTTCTTCCTTAAAAAACGCAGCTCCCACATCATGTTCCAGGATTGCTTCTGCCATCAGGTCAACATGCAAGTTAGTGGGGAGAAGATAAAGGGACAGAGCACTACTCTAAACTCACTCTTCTTTGAAGGGCACTTGCAGCCGCATCACATGAAAGGGAGGGAATCACAGCTCCCCAACAGAGGGCCACAGTCTCAGCTAAAAATCCTGTGTTCTGTAACTGTCCTAAATGGACAAGTTCAACAGTTTCTGCTGGTGATGCTGAAAAAGGTGTGCAGATAGCTATAGGGCGAGGCCAAAATAAGTGACAGAAAGCATCATACTTACTAGCTCTCTGACCTTGGCCAGGTCACTTAACCTGTCTGTGCCTTTCTTCACTTACAAAACGAGGATAATTAGCAGCACCCACCTCATAGTTTACCTCAGGTTACCTAAATTGTGTTAACGGGACGAGTTTTACATTTTAGTCAGTCAGATGCTTGGGGAATTTGTTACCCAAAAAACAGTTTTTGTTTTAAGCCTTACTAAAAACTTTTAATAAAATGTTACTGTTATTTGAAAAATAGTTGTCATTGCTTGAAAGTTTGAATTATTTTTTTCATGAGCTTGTTTTCTTCCAATTTGCTCATTTCAAGAGTGGGATCCCTGAATTCACCCCAAAACCTTACTCAAGGTTTTCTTGAACTTTTCTATACAGCCTCTGTCCCTACCCCTCTCTTCCTTTTCTTAAAAACCTTGCCATTTATCCTCTGGATAGCCAAGTATTGCTTCTCACCTGACATCCTTGTTATGGGGAGGACCCGGGGCATTTTGTTGGGTCTTAATGTAAAATGTCTCTAAAGTAGTGTTATCTTATGGCACAACACTGACATGGAAGTAATTTTTGTCTTAGATGCTAGAAAACTTGGGGCCCACCTTTATCAACTGTGGAAGTCTCACAGAATTGTTTTATTAACTTTCACCCCGGCTTCATCTAATTTCTTCCATTCTCACTTTCCTTTTCCTGATTTCCTCCCTTAAAAAACTAGCTGTGTCACAGGCATTTTTAAATACGCTGTCTTAAAAACATTTTGAAATAAGACTTTTTTAGAAATTGTTCAAGGTGTTAAGGTATTTTGAAGGTCCTTTTTTCATCAGCTTTCACCCAAACTTTCTTCAATGCTTTTTAAGTCATTTTGTACCATGCCTTTGGTTTCAACTATAACTATTATACTGACCCCAAGCAGATCCCTGTACCTTGTTTCCTGGACTGGAATGCACAGCTGACAAAAGGGCATTTCCCGCCTACCGTCTCCCACCTACCATCTCCCACTACATACACACACATACTCACACACCCCTACCTACATCTTTATTTAAAATACTGCTAATTACAATATTAACTCAATTTTCTTTAAATAACTAAATATTGAAAACTTTACAAAAATGTCAATTAAATTTGTTTTCCAAATTTAATTTGGAAAATTAAATTTTTCTCTCAAACCAACTTTTCCAAACAGAAATCCCTATAAACAAACAGGGCCAGTCTACATTAGTTTTTTGTGATGGAGTAGTTTTCAAAAACACCTTTAGTAAATAAATAAAGGGGAGATGTAAAATACTATGGTTTGCTTGATGAATCTTAATTGCGAAATTTCTTCTTCTTTCGAAACTTCTTTCCTGCTGCATTTGCTACCTTTTCAGCCATGATCTCTGAGTACTTCCTTCGGTTATATCTAAAAATAAAAACCAAACCTTTAAGTTCTGAAGTATGACACACTGGACATTATTAGATGTTAATAAAACATTTTGGAGAGGTAGTGCTCGCTAATTTTAAATCTCAATTTTTTTCATTTTTACCATCTATTCATCATTACTACGCTAAGTTCCCATGTGTAGGGTGCCATGCCAGGAGCTGATGACAGGGGACTGCACCAGACAGCCAAAGCCCCTGCCCTCGTGAGGCTTCCAGTCTAATGAAGAAACACAACTGTAGAGGGAAGCTTCTGTACATATGCAGTCACCAGAAACTCTTGTTCTAACATCCAGCTAATATCAAATGCTTTAAAATTATTTCTGTGAGTTAAAAATGTTAAAGCAGGACTAAGCAAAACAGAAAGTTTACACTTACCTGAAAACACGTAATAAACTTTTTAGAACCTTAAAAATATGTCATAGACCCATTGTTTTTGAAGTGTGGCCTGGGAATAAGACCCTTCCAGGGGTCCGTTAGGTAACACTACAAGAATTCGACAATGCTCTTGGCCCTTTCACACCTGCTGTCGTCTCACCAGTGTGCAGCAGAGCTTTCCAGAGGCTACACAATGTGCAGTGTCACAGCAGACTGATGCAGAAGCACATATGAGGCTCCAAGTTTAAGCCAGACATTAAAGAAATTTAATTTGTTTTGTTCATAAAAACGTTAATGTATAATGGGTTTGTTATTATTTTAAAATGAATTAATGAATATTTTTAGTTTCTTAATTCTAATATCTATTATGATAAATATTGATCAATGTAACCCACAAAAGTTCTTTAGGTCTTCAATAATTCTTCAGAGTTTAAAAGCATCTTCAGAGAATTGCTGCTATAGACTATATTTCTCCATTGGGCTTTAGAAACACAAAAGCACAATTTACTGCCAAAAAAAAAAAAAAGCTGTAGTAGCTACAGCTTCAACAAAAGGGCTGTCAGTCAACAATTATGAAACGTTAAAAAATTCTCTAAGACATGTACCTCCTCTGTTGAGCACATCCACTGTGTTACTTAAGTCTGTTACCACATTACTAAAGCTGAGGATTAGCTAAAATTCTCTTTAAAGCAGAAGTTATTTAAACTGGCAGTCCCCAACTTTTTTTGCACCAGGGACCAATTTCAGGATGATCCAAGTGCATTACATTCAAGCTCACCTCCTGCTGTGCGACCCAGTTCCTGACAGGCCACAGACTGATACTGGTCAGCGGCCCCAGGGATGGGAACCCCTGATTTAAACTCTTTAACTTTATAGCTCACTCAATCCCAAGAGCACAGTTTACACAGACTTTCTAACAAACCTAAGGTTGGATTAAAAAGGAAACAAAATACAAAACTACGTATAACGCAGAAAAGCATTTTCTTCTGTCCCAGAGCATTCCTCCTAATGAGTATCTGATGCATTAAATACATTCGGAGAAGTTTGCTGTCCCAAAGTGGTCAGAGAAAACCTTGAGCCAGTTGCAGAGGGGACTGATTAAAACTTTCCGTGAGGTGATGGGCTCGCAGAGTGTTTCACATATTTCGGCATATAAAGAATAGGACAATATTCTTTTTAAGTAATGTAGTTTATCTTAATGTATTTAGGAAAATATTAACAAACTCACAGTAGCAATAAAGTCTCCTTCCTTTTTAGAATAAAGTAGGCAGTAGTATACAAGTAACTGTGCAAGACTGTGAAAGTGGTGTTCAGTGACAGGTATGAGAAACAATGACCTGATACGACAACCTCTGACCTGCAAGTCTGAGTTTCAGGCTACTGCATTTCTAGTCTATTGCCTCAACTTCCTTATTCTAAGGTGTTTTTTAGTGTCGTAACACTTACCTAAGTGTTAACTGTATGTTGTGGATAAAACTGACCTACATTTTGTAATCTTGATGAAGGCAATCTCACAAATCAGAGCAATGTTGATAGTGCTTATTTCTAAATTTTTACCATTACCCAGACTCATTTAATAGCTTATATAACATTTTGAGCTAAATTTGTTTTCCATACCTACAATCTACATTATTTTTAGAACCCTTGATAAATATTTTTAGTTTTGCTATTAAACCAATCTGGAACTTTTAGCAGAGGTTTCTATATGAGGTATACTTTTAAATCTCCTATAATATATATGTAGCTGCTTCAAGGACATTTCAACACACTCAGATTACTCCCGTCTTAAAGTCTTAAAAAGTCCTTATCTGCTAGCCGTGCCTCTCCCTTCCTCTTCACAACAGAACTTTTTCAAAGAGTTGTGTCCGTTTCTTCATTTTCAACTCATTCTCCAGTTTTCCTTCCCATCATTCCCCTAAAACTCCTGCCAAAGTCACTGTAACTAAATCCCCAAGAAGTTTTTATTTATTTCATTTGATATCCCAGCAGCATTTCTTGTTAACCACTCTCACTGGCTTATACCTGTTTAAAACATTCTCTTTTCTTGACTACTATGACATTGTGCTTTTCTGGTTTTCTCAATATCCCCTTGCTATTCTTTCCCACACTCCCCTGCAGGCTCATTCTCCTCTAGTCTGTCAAATATTTTTCAGCTTCTCTCTAAAGCAGTTGCTCTAACCTGGGAATGCTTATACCCTGCAGGGAACATCTGAAAATGTCTGAAGACATTTTGGATTGTCCTGAATGGTGGTTGCTGCTGGTGTATGGTGGGGACAGAGGCCAAGGATGCTTCTAAACAGCCTACTATGCACATGAAAGTCTCCTCCAATAAGGAATTATCCCATCCGAAATGTAAGTAGTGCTGCTGTTGAGAAAGTGTGCTAAAGTATTTAAAAGTTATCTGAAATTTTAAAAGTTTATGCATATTCTAAAGGAAAGCATATGTATTATAAAGTGAAACATAGACTCTACCTTCTGAACTCAGAATCAGCCAGCAGTTCTTCCACAATAGTTTTCTTTCTTTGTTTCTTGGGAATCCGTGAATGGTAGAAGTCAGCTGGATTGTCAACGATGGTTCCAATCTGTGAAGAGGTGATTGTAATAGGTCATTCAATACCTGTGTGCCACATTGCTTTCCTATTTCAGAGTAGCTCTAAGAAAGTGTACTTATTGAAAGGCATGAAAACTTAAGTGTATATTACACCAATATTAAAGTTAATTTTGCCATTTTAAAAGCAAAAATAAATCACCTAGTCAATCTATATTAGGTCCTAAAACATTTCTTCATCAGTTTATAATCCAGATTTCCTTTTATAAAATTTGGTGCCAGACAGTAAATTCTTGATGAATAAATAATGTAACCAGAGGGAAAAAGTAGGATAAACTCTCGTTTTAGCTTCCCAATTTAATGAAACTGACACAAAAATTCTACTACACACCTATTTGACTTCCTAGATTATAATAAATGCTGCCAGATTAGAACCTTCTTATTGACCACTCTGCATTAGTACATACATTCAACCAAGTAAACTGCACTGAGTGTCTACTATGTGCCAGGCACTGTCCTACGTATAGGAAAACAAAGGTAATGATCCTTGGCAGTGAGTAGTCCATAGTCTTAAAAGGAAGATCCACAGACAGGTAACCAAACAATTAAAACACAACATAATGCCCCGGCTAGTGTGGGTTAGTGGACTGAACACCGGCCTGCAAACCAAAGGGTTGCCAGTTTAATTCCCAGTCAGGGCACATGCCTGTGTTGCAGGTCAGGTCCCCAGTTGGGGGCACACGAGTGGCAACCCCACACTGATGTTTCTCTCCATCTCTTTCTCCCTCCTTTTCCCTGTCTAAAAATAAAATCTTTAAACAAACAAAGAAACATAACAGAATATTATGCTGAACAAAACATTTCAGATGCTCTAAAAACGACGTGACCAATTCTGTCTAAGAGAGATAAAGGTTTCACAAAAGATGACTGTTAGCTTGGGTTGGTATGAGTAAAATTCCACCAAGCATACATGGCAGGGCCAAACACATGCAAAGTCAAATGCCAACTACAATCCGTGACAAAGCTGGGGTTGGTGACCCAATCTGGGTGCCTACTGTGACTGTGAAGGGCCACATCAAAGGGTAAACACTCTACCCTATACGTCACAAAGAACTGTTGAAAGTACCACTGAACAACATCTGTGATACCATTTAACAGAGGTGTATCCTGGACTGACTGCCCCTGCCACACCTGTTTTAAAGAACAGATGTCTGGTTACATGTGGAGGACGGACTTAGAAGGGAGAGCAGACCTGAAGGCAAAGGATCATTACAATAACCCAGATGAGTGACATGAAAGGCAGTCAAGAGAAACAAAATGAACTTGAGGGCTCCCAGAGGATGACTCCACTGGACTTCACCGGAAAACACTTTGAAAACCAATTTTTAACTTATTTTCAGAATTTGCCTGGGGATACCCCTCTACCCTGAAAAGAGATGGTGCAAATGAGTCCTGCTTTTGTTGTCCATCTGTAAGAATCCTTGCTGTTAGGCTAATAGTAGTGATAGATGGAACAGCCATTTTATAGGTTCCCTAACTCTTAAGAGAGTTGACCAGTGAACCCAGTTACCATCTGCAACACTGTCTCTCTGTATGGGAAGTCATTACGAGCTGGTGGCTGCCTGAATTGGGGTCTGCCCATTATTGTATTGCCTGAGCAGATATGCTTTGTAAATATTCATCTATTTTAAGAGTAAACAGAAAGATCACAGTACAGTGCTTCCTTCCCAAGCTAAAATCCACAGAACATCACCATCATTATTCCGTTTGCTTCATACCTGGAAGTACTTAGGGAAGCCATCCCTGTCGTTTTTCTTGTAAAACCTTTTTGGGTCCATGCCAGCTCTCATCTTCAGTGCTTTGAGATCATTTTTCAGTTCGTCTGTCAATTCTGGAGCTTTCATACCAAACCAGCCATCACCTGCTGTTTTTTGTCGCTCTTTCTGAAATTCAGATTTCAAAAACAAACAGAAAATTCTAACTTCAATAAACAGTATATAAACTATACCTATTTCCCCCAAAATTGTACATACAATTTCATTAATTCATAACAAATGAAGTTACTTTACAGAATGTATTAATCTTCAGATTCATCTTTCATTAAGGAATGAAACAACAAAAAAGTGCTTTCTCTGGTAAATTAGGTAAAGCACTAGCAGTTTCATAAATGAGAGATCCTTTAAATTCAACTTTGTATTTTAGTAAGAATTGCTGATTTGCTGGGAGAATAACCCACAGCTTTAATTTCTATTGTCTAAAATAGCCTACATAAGAGATAATGTATAAAAACATTTTTACCTCTGAAGCTGCTATGTAAACATTAACAATTCTATGCAGTTACCGAGGTATCTCAAAGTCATTCACTCCAACAGTCCAGAAACTTGCATTATTTCTTTTTTAAAAAATCTATTCTTTTAAAAACTCCTAGCAAGTAATTTGCTCGATTTTATATTCTGTTCCCTTCATACAACCAATGCTATGAAGTATCTACCATGTGCCAGGGTGCTTTATATTAGTGACAAGACATTATTAGAGTACCTTCCTCAAATTTCCTCCAAACTCTCTTGATAGCTTCTTTATGCGTATTAGTTGAAATGCCAGATGGAAGCAATCCCTATGTTTTACTAAAGAAAAGAGTTTCTATCCTCTCATTTGGCAGACTAAACAGACCAGGTTTTGAGCTGGCTACATTAAGTTCCCTACAACAGCATGCAACAAACAAGAGCTGCTCTAGCCTTTACAGAACAGTACTGATAAGCCAAGAAGTATGGGCAGTGACTTTAAATGGTGACTGTCACTATTTTTAAAGGGGAAAAAAAGTTGTATCTATGTGTACCACTCAGTGCAGTTTCACTTTGTGAAAATCCATATAAAACATGTCTACAGAACCCTATTTTATGGGCCCTTGGGAATCTTGTGACAATTTTCTTTGAAAATACATATACTTTTTAATTGTATAACCAGGTTGTATTATGAGCTGAACACAGCATATTCATATACACCTACAACATTCTAAATGATGAGAGTCATTGTACTTACTCTGCGTTTCTTTTGAAGTTGATACTTCGATTCACGATATGGTGGGACACAGTAGTTTTTTTCAAAATCAGGAGTAATGATGGCTTTCTGCATAATCTATAAAAATATTGAATTGTTTTTAAAATTTCAGAATGTCACATAACTTTCTCAACATATTTTTTGTTGAAAAAAGATCAGACTGAAGACTATTCCAAATATATTAACCCTCTTTATACACAGACATACTACTGTGAAGTTTTCCTTGTCCTTAAATTTGTAAATTGTATTACAGTAAAAATGTTTTAGGAGCCCTGACCGGTGTGGCTTAGCCGGTTGAGCCTTGTCCCGCAAAGTAAAAGGTTGCCTGGTTTCATTCCAAGTCAGAGCACATGCCTGGGTTGCGGGCCTGGTCCCCAGGTGGGGTGCGCATGACATGCCACCGATGGATGTTTCTCACTCACTGATGTTTCTTTTCCTTTCTCCCTTCACCTTTCTCTAAAAATAAGTAAATAAAAATCTAAAAAAAAAAAAAGGTTTTAGGAGGCAAAGGATTACTTTAGGAGATCTAGAAAATCAATCACCAGCTCAAATTTCTTTTACTGATCTGAATCTGCACACATCAGAGTTACATCGTGTCCATTTGCATGTATTGGTCTGCAAACAGCCACCTGCACCAAACAACTGGAATATGTGGAAAATGGGAACAGTGCCACATGGCTCTTGAAGTCCCTGAGAAAAACCTGGCCAGATTTTAGTTTTTTTTTGATGTTGGCAAAACAGCTTATAATCTAAGAAGACTGTCTAAACTATTGATAAGTACAGCAATATAGATTTTGACTCAACAATACATACTTTTTATGTTATACCAATGAGACAATTCCATCTAGACAAATCTGCTGTCTGCAATTCAATGTATCTTGGATGATCTTTCAATGTCAATTTATACATAGATCAACAGCTTTCTTATTAATAGCTATCATACACCGGTTTTTCTTCTGACATTTACTTTGTCTCCATTAAACTTTTTTCCCTTAAATATTGTAAACATCACCTATGCACACTTGTGATTATTTCTGTAAAACAGATTAAAAAATGTGTCATTTAAAATTTTTATAGGTAATGGTAAATTTCCTTGCATTTAAATAATATAAACTCCTACCAACAGTTAATCATGGCCCTTTTCTCTATATTGCCACCAACACAGGGTGTTATGTTTTTTATGTTATCAGTGGTGTCTTTTGGCTATTTTCATTTGCTGTTCATCATCTTTACACACAAAGTCCTCTTCCGTGGGAATATTTGTACTTTTCTGGGTGCTTCTTAATTTTTAAATAGGGTTGTGTTCTTATTTATTTGTAAAAATGTATTTTGTATCTTGATATTAATCTGTGGTCTTTTACTTGTCTTTGTTAAGGTGTTTTTAATCACTTACATTTTTTAAAGATTTTATTTATTAGAGAGAAGGGAAGGGAGGGAGAAAGGGGGAGAAAGAAAGGGAGAGAAACATGGACGTAACAAACACCAACTAGTTGCCTCCTGTACGCATCCCAACAAGGAACCAAACCCACAACCCAGGCCTGTACCCTGACAGGAATCAAACCAGTGACCTTTTGTTTTGCAAGCCGACACCCAATCGAGCCATAACACTGAAGGCTTAATTGCTTAAGTTTGAAATTTGTGTTCAGTCAAATCTGTTCATCTTTTCCTAATTTACTTCAGCATTTTGTTACTTACTTGCTTAGAGTGATTAAATATTGTCATAATACCATTTCTGTGGCTCAAAGAAGCCTCAGGGTAATTAGTCATTCTCCCAGTGCAAGAAGTAAAGAAACTACTGCTTAGTCCACAAAATAATTCAACAGGAATACAGCAATATAAATTTGGTCAGTAACATTTGACGTTATCAACTGAGACATCCCCAATTCAGGTTCAGACTTAGAAGTTTCTGGGTAGTACAGTAGCAGTCTAGACTTTCCCATCACTGAGAAAAGAGAGCATGACGTTTAACAGACTAAGAGCTTGTTGTGTGTTAAGCACCATACCAGGGTTTAGGACAGTGGTTCTCAATTGGGAGCAAATGGCAATATCTGAAGGCATTTTTGGGGGGGTGGTGGGTGGTGGGGAGGGTGGACGCTATTCCCACCTAGTGGGTAGAGGCCAGGGCTGTTGCTAAATATCCTACAATGTACAGACACCCTCCCACAACAAAGAATTATGCAGCCTAAAACATAAATATTGCAGAGGTTGAAAAATCCTGTTTTAGGAATACAAAGATAAAATTCAGTAAAATAATCATTATACTACGATTAATAATGAGTCCGACTGATACTGGGTGTTGCAGAAGCACAAAGGAGGTGGGGGGGAGGACTAGGGTCAAAGAATGTTTTCCAAAGACAGTGACCTATGATCTCTGCATCGGCCTGGGAAAGAGCAGGCTGTGTTCAGGACTGTAGCAGTCTCAAGGGTGAGAACAGAGTTGGATAGGGCTAGAGGAACAGAGGCATTTTGAAGGCTTTGAGGAACCACTGAAGGACTTAAGAGAGTATGGTCAGGCCCTGACTGGTGTGGTTCAGTGTACTCAGTGCTGGCCTGTGAACCTAAAGATCGCCGGTTTGACTCCTAGTCAGGGCACATGCCTGGGTTGTAGGCCAGGTCCCTCATTAGAGATGCATGAGAGGCAACTACACACTGATGTCTCTCCCCCTCTCTTTCTCCCTCCCTTCCCCTCTCCCTAAAAATAAATAAATAAAATCTTAAAAAAAGAGTATTATGGTTGGATTACATTTTTAGAAAATCTAGCAAGAGTGTGGAGAACAGCATGATGAACAAAGAGGAAGGAGGCTACTGCTGTAGTCTAGATGAAAATACAGGCCTGCACGAGCCTGGGACAGTGGGGTGAAAAGGAGCAGAAAGTACGTAAGAAGCATTGTAGCCAAGGCTTGGTGACTGTAAAACATTAACCAGGACAGAGAACACAAAAAGGAGGAGCTGGTTCAGGCAGAGAACAGAAGTAGGGCAATTAGTGAGGTCAAGTGCCTGAACACATATGAAGGAACAGAAAACAGGCACCTGCATTTAAAGACCTGAAGAAAAGACTCGAACAGGGAGCAAGTCTAGAAAATACAGATGTGGGAAGAAGCTGTGTAAAGGGGCAGCTAAAGCTAGGTGCTGGATGAGTGACCTACCCTGTTAATTTCCTTCTGAAATTAAATGTACAATTTTATGTCTGTGTGCACTTTATCCTGCTGGGGGAGGCGGGCACTCACAGCTTTCAGATTCTCACCATAGAAATCAGATTCTTAACTGTTCTGGTCTCACAATCCAGAACAGTGAAGAACTAAAAGTATGGTAAAAAAGGAAAAAAAAAAATACAATCCTTGGGATCATAACTGGTAGGTGCAAGAAGAACACTCGTCCTGTATTACTTTATTTTCTCAAGTGTCATCTTTTACAGCTAGGACTTTATAAAAACAAGAAACAACTGTTCTGGAGAGCAGGGGAGGAAAGGAGCACAGGAGGCTGATGTGACTTCACTATAGGAAAATCAGTCTCTCACCAAGGTCTAATCATTTCTATAAGTAACTGGCTAGTTCCATGGATGCCTCTAGGACATGTCATGCAACTTACCTCATTTTTCTTTTTCTCCTTGATCTGTGTTAGGGTTTTCTTGTTTGATTGTAGTTTGTCTGCATTAAAATTTATATACAAACCACCCAATTGCTTGATACTCAGACCAGTGTCTATGCTGCTGCTGGTCAACTTCAGACTGAAAGAGAAATGATCACTTAAAAATCAAGTAATTAAATCAAAATGAAAACAACTGAGACTATTTTAAAATTGATTTTTTCTTTTCTTCCCTTTTATTGTCAATGACAAATTTTAAAATCCTTATTTTTATAATTAAATTCTGAAAAACTAAACAAATACACAGTTTAAATCTAGTTAAAGTCATTAAGAAAGAAATTCTGAGATGAGCCCTGGCTGGTGTGGCTCAGTGGATTGAGCGTGGGCTGCGAACTAAAGGTTTGTTGGTTCAGTTCCCAGTCAGGGAACATGCCTGGGTTGCGGGCCAGGTCCTCAGTGGTGGCCACGTGACAGGCAACCACACATTGATGTTTCTCTCCCTCTTTCTCCCTCTCTTCCCCTCTCTCTAAAAACAAATAAATAAAACCTTTAAAAAGAAAAAAGAAATTCTGGGATGAATAATGAATTAAACAAAAAAGCTTTTTTGAGCACATCCAAATTTATTCCCCAGATTATCTTTAAGAGGATGAAGGCCATATAAGATGTCAATAGATTTCACAACAGGACTTTTATTAAAAAAGAATTACAGAAAAGAAGAGAAGATGCATCTGGCAATTTGGCTCAACTTCATATATAGGTAGTGAGCTCCTAAATGTACACACTTCCATCTCTAAAAACAGTCAGAAAAACAGGTTCTTCTACTCTGAACTTCCAAGTTATCCAAACTTAGAATATTCTTCCAGGTAATCAGAAGTATTTGGTAGTGCCTCTAAATTAAAAAAGTTTTAAACAGTGATGAGCATCCATATTTCCCACTGGAGCTTTTTAAAAATATGTCATATCCCAGACCTAACAAATTAGACTCTCCTGCAGGTGGCCTGGGATCCTGTTGTATTTATGGAATAAAAACTTCTACTTTATTTTACTGAAGGGTCCTTTTTATAAACAAGTACACTTGGCCTTATAGTCACTTTCTTCTCTAATTATTTACATAAACTAAAAGCTGAAAGTTCTGATAGCCAACCTCTACTGGAAAGTGATTATCATTCTACTGAAGTGCTTTGGCAGTGATCCTCAACCCTAAACGTACATGGGAATTATCCTAGGGAGGAGGACGGTGGCTTTCAAAAAATAAGAATACCTGAGCCTAGCCTGAGACTGACTTCACTGGGCATCCAATTAATGTATAGTTCCTTACAAGGATGCCTGTATTTCAGATACACTGCTGCCAGGGGCCTATACTTAGGAAAAACAATTTACAACAGAAGAAAAGAAACTAAAGTAACCCCAAATATTAATGCTTTTCAACTGTGGACAGATGGGATTATAGGTTATTATTTTTCTCAGGCTTTATTTTTCAATTTCTCTATAATCAACATATAATAAAAAAACAAGTTATTTTCCTTCCCTTTTATATTGCTATTAACAATCATGCAGGAAAATCCTGACAGATGATTTTTAATATTATCACCAAAAGCAGCACTTTTAGCTATCATTGGTGGGAAAAATATGACTAACAATGGCATCCACAGAGGGAAATGCTGGAAAAAAGAGCTCTCCCATACAGAGCCCGAGGCAATGCTTCTGTCAATTCCCATGCTTTATAATATTTTATATTTTTACAGTAAATTAGCCATTTGAAATATGTATCAAAAACTTTTTAAAATAAAGGTAAAACTTACAGTTTAGACTTTGTGTCATTTAGTAAGTCGTCTTCATCACTAAACTCATCATCTTTATTTTTGTCTTCGTCTGATGGTTCGTCTTCACTTTTTTCATCCTCTTCCTGCCCTTCCTTTTCTTCCTCAATGGCACCCTCATCTGCCTTATCTTCCTCACCCAAGTAAAAATTTTTACCAGCACTTAACCCAGGAGTTGTGTCAATTACAAACAATGCATTGTCACATGACTTATTTCCCAAATCTCCATTTAATGACCCCCTTTGTGCACTATTTTCAACAAAACACACAGTGTCCTCTTCAATGTCACTGTTGTCAGACTGCTGGCTTTCATCACTGCTGAGAAGTAATAAAACAGAATCACCTGTATTCTGAGATGTGGGCTCAGACTTGTACAGTTCAGTATCACAGTCAAAATCTACATCCCTTTCTTTATTCACGTCTCCACTGGCAGCTATAACTGTGCACTCTTCTTCATCACTACCATCACCGTTACTAGATGTGAAGTCACTTGTTTTTACGGTGCTCTTTCTCTCTTCAGTCCACCTGTCTATTTCCACAACAGCAAATGTTTGAGCTAATGATTTCATAATAGCCTCACAGTTCTGATTTGAGGGCCTTGATGTGGTTTTGTTATTGTGGGGAGTTGAATGCCTTTGAGAAACTAACCGCGGAAGTCTATTGTCCTGAAGTTCAGAAAAACTCACCTCAGAATTTTTCTCATTAATTTCTTTTTCCTTATCTATCATTCCTTTGGCTTCTTCATCTAAATTCTTACAACTCTGCTTTGTTATTTCTTTGAGAGGTGCAACATTGACCTGTTTTTCCTCTGTTTTATTAAGATGTTGGTGTTCTTGCATTTTTGATTTTCTTCTTGATTTTTCATGGAAGGAATCATCAAAGTCACTATAGATTTCATTATTAGAGAAATCTGGCTTATTTATCTGAGGAAGTGATCTTGCTCGTAAATGAGAAGTTTGTCTGGCATCAGAATCCTCTGAATCCATAGGTGTATTTATCATTTGCTTTTCATTTTCTGGTATAATCTTAGTATCTTTCTCCTCCATTTGTGCCGGTAATTTCCTCTGCATAATCCTTGTTGTTCTCCTAGTTCCAACTCTGGAAAATGTAGAAATATCTGAGCATGATGATTCAGCATCAGAAATAGCTTCTGCATGTGAATCTTGGCTTGGATCTGTTAGGGATTTAGCCTTACTTCTTCTGGTTCTTGTAGAAGGCACAATTCTAGAAATACCTGAAACATGCGATTCCGCTTCAGAGACTTCTTCTTCAGTATGAGACTCACTTATTGGAGTTACTTTCAGCCTTTTCTTAGCACTGGACAACGGGTCTCGTGCCACTAAGATCTGCCTTCTCCTAGTTACTCTTAAAATGGAATCCTGGAGCTCAAACACAGAACAATTTGACTCTGCTTCAGAGGTCTCTCCATCAGTAGAAGGTTTGTTCATTTCTGGTAATGAGCCTGCAGTTCTGCTCTTTCTCTTTCCAGTTTCAAGGGTTTTAGGGATTAGACTTGGTTTCCTATTGCTCTGTGATTCAGCAGTATTTTGGTCATCAGATGGAGATTCCTTCCTGCCTTTTAGATACTCCTGAGCTCTTTCAGCAGAATTCTGCAAGCCAGAGAACACACACTTAATTTAGGTAGGACTAGGACATGGGCAAAGTAAATGAGGCACTCCTCTTAGAAGCAAATTTTAAGAGGCCAATAAAAAACTCAGTAAACAAGATGAACACAACCCCCCCCCCGCCATTATTTAAACAAATAAAATAAAAAAACCTTATATACTGTATCTGCCCCTGAATTTGCAGGGCTCTGCCTCACTTCCCTCACCCAAGTCCCTGAATCTAACTTTAGTGAGCAAAACACTAACACTAATAATAATAACTGAAAGGAGAAAAAAGTTTTATACTCAAAAGAGTCAAATATTCTAGGGGGACCTACATTTCGACACATATGGGGAAGAGGAAATGAGGAGAGTATTAACTCTGAGCAAAGATATATTTAGGAACACACGCCGATAGAATCAATCGCTGCTCTTACCTTTATATAAGTAAGTGAATTAACGCTCGTTTTCCTTCATCGCTGAATCTGAGGCAGCGGAGGACTAGCGTCACTGCAAGCCACCAGGCGGCATCACTATAGACCTCCTCCACGCCAAAAGGAGGTGCTGTGGGGTCACCGCCAGCCTCCCCACCACAAAAGGTGCCCTCCTCTCTAGCCCCGCTAAATTAGGCTCATGCTTGGTGGTCAAAATTAACCCTTAGTACAGCGTCAACAGCAAAGTTTAAAAGCCCGAGCTGTTTATCTGCATTACAGCGCTGAACTACACAAAACAAGTTACCTAACTTCTCTGTTCCATATCAGAACTTCATTAAAGACTGCAGTGAGGACTGAAGAGGAAGCGTCAGGCTCAGCAGCGGGTCTGGTGAGCAGCAGCCAGCGGCAGGCCAGTCCGGACACTCCCGGTGTGCTGCTTCCCCTAACGCTCCCAGGACCCTTGCGCCGCCCCACCTCCTCGAGAGCGATTCTGCGGGGCAGCGAGCAGAAATGAGGGAGCCGTGCTGTTTCCTACCTTCTGCCCGGAGCTTTCAGCAGTCGTAGCTTGGATACGGGCCTGCGGCCGCGCAGACCTCGTAACCACCATCTCACCGACTTGGGGCCACCACGGCCTGCCTCTGTTCCGGCGCCACGGAAGTGCGTCAGAGACCGGCCTCATGCGCACTTTCCGCGTGGATTCGGGAACTCGCGAGAATCTCTTACCAGCTTCCGCCCCTCTTCCCTGGCCCCAGCCGGACGACCTGGGGATCCGCAAGTGTCCTGGTTCACTCTAGGACATGAGACAGACCGTGGTTTTGCAGGGAGAGCACTTAGTTGGGGCGGTGAAACTCGCAGGGACAGAGGGCCTTCGTCACATGAGTTGTGTTAGGCAATTCTAAACGTTTTAATGTTGCCAGGGGTGTGGCGGAAGGAGACATTTGCATTATTTATACTTTTAAAAAAACATTACTCTTGTATTATTTATGGAGTTAATTATAAAAAACAAAATTTAAATTTGAAAACTTGGTTGGGGTAAAGATTTTTATGTTAAATACCCCAGGAATGCGGAGGCTAGTTGGGAGCTATATAATCTAAAGGTGAGATGGTGACTAAGGATTGTAAATAAGCAGAAAGGAAGAAATGTTAAATTGTAAAAAAGAGTGATAACGTTTTGCAGTGAAAGGAAGAGAATGATCTGAATCAATAGAAGGATTTGTGTTTCTTTTAGAATGAAGGGTGGAGAGCTAGAACAAGGGGAACGGAAAGGGATTGAAGTAGATGGATATTGTTGGAGGTGAGAACTGATAGGCGCCTCACTAAATGTATTTTTACTTTATTACAGAAAACTTTTTCCCCTTATTGTCGCAAAGCACAGAATTTTTCAGTGGGCACACTGTCACCCAGCTAAATAACTCTTTTCATTGTTTCCCTTGCAGCCAGATGTGACACAGACTCAGGGTGCACTGAGCTGTCTGTTCTCCATAGTGAGAGTACTTCTTTTGTGTCTCTAGGTAATATTAAATACTAGAAATGTTGCAGAAGCACCACCAAGGGTAGGCGTGTTCAAATAGGTTGTGACCATTAGTGGTCATCAACTTAATTTAATGGGTCATAACTGGCATAAAAGAAACTAGATAGAACATAAGTCACAGAGCATCATGTGTAATATTATAAAAGTATTGTTTTGTGAAACTTTGTATGCATTTATTTAGATTATATATGAATATATGTGTCTGTCTTGACTGTTTTATACAATCTGTATTTTATTGTGGGTTAGCATTAAAAATGAAAATCAAAAATGATTAGGTTACAAAAAAGGCTGGCTTCTATCTTGTACTTTCTCACTTGTTCACTTGTGGGAAGCTAGCTGCATGTAATGAGCTGCCTCATGGAGAGGGCCATGTGGCAACAAAGTGATGGAGGCCTCTGGCTATACCTATCTAGGAACTAGGTCCAGCCAGCAATCACATGAAGAAGCTAAAACTGGCCTCAAACAAGCACATGGGTGAGACTAATTTCACCTGAAACTTGGATTGCAACCGCTTGTGACACTTGAGGTACCAGAACACAGCAATATAGGGAACCAGTCCAAGTAGCAGTGGCAAATGCAGCTCAGCCCTGGTTTGGAAAACCGACAGGTGCAAGGTGGCACACAGGAGCCAGGCCCACAGATCGGCTTTCCCGTGGGGAACCAGGCCTGCATTGTACCTAGGCTGCTTTGAGGCTTGCTTTTGCTAAAACTCCCTCACCCTGAGTTAAGGCACAAATGTTGAATGCATATCTTTGAAGTAACTTCCTAAAGTCTGTGCTAAACCTCCCAAGGACAGAGTGTAACCAGTTCAACCACTTTTTCTCTTGCATTTGCAACATCCTTTTCTTTGTTATCTGTAAAAGCAAACCTGTGCATAATGAATGAGGACCTTCCCTGATGTAATGCTCCCTGAAAAGCAATAAAAGCCTGTCCAGACAAGGGTCGGGTGCTCTCTCACTCAGAGAGCGGCCATGCCGTCCCTTTTCTCCAGAGGACTTTTGCAGTCCGTGTGAATTTGTTCGTCGCATCCACAACACTGTGGACAGCGCTGGGTGGAGTCTGCATCTCAGCAAAGTCACTATTGAATAATTTTGTCTGTTTTAAAATTTAATGTAAAGGAAATAATACAATATGTACTTTTTCATGTCTAGCTCATGTATACCATACTTTATTTTTTTAGTTGGAGTAGTATTTCATTATATGATTATAATACAACTTATTTATACATTCAACTGTTGATAGCATTTGGGTTGTTTCCAGTTTTCAGCTATTGTGAGTAAAGTGCTATAAACATTTATACATATGTTTTTATTTCTCTTGGGTGAATAGAAGTAGAAATGCTGGTCATATGGTAAGCATCCATTTAATTTTTTAAGAAATGTTATTTTCCATAGTGATCATACCATTTCACGTTCCCACCAGCAATGTGAGAGTTCTGCTTGCTCCACACCCTCACCAACAGCTGGTACTATTGGCCTTTAGTGGCATTTTTATCGTAGTTTTAAAGTGCATTTCCCTGATGATTAAGATGTTGAGCATCTATTAATGTTCTTATTGGCTATTCATGTTATCATTGAAAAAAATCTGCTCTAGCCTTTCACTATTTTTTATTGGGTTGTCTTATTACTAAGTTAAAAGACACCTTTACACATTCTAGATATAAGATCCTTATCAGATATGTGATTTGTAAATATTTCCTCCCATTCTGTAAGTGGTCTTTCACTTAAAAAAATATTTTATCTATTTATTTTTAGAGAGAGGGAGGGGAAAGAGAAAGAGAGGGAAAGAAATATCAATGTATGGTTGCCTCTCATGTGTCCCTACTGGGGACCTGGCCTGCAACCCAGGCATGTGCCCTAACTGGGAATCAAACTGGTGATACTTTGAAGTACAATTTTAACAAGTTATGTCCAATTCATTTTTTATCAGAAATGTATATTGGAAATATTTCTTCTCAGTTGATTGCATTTTCTTTAAAAAAATATTTGCATATTTAGAGAGAGGGAAAAGGAAGGGAGGGAGACATCGATGTGAGAAACAGCAATTAGTTGCCTCTCACATTTGCCCTGACAGGTGCCAAACCTGCAACCTAGGCATGTGCCCCGACCAGGAATTAAACCAGAGACCTTTCATTTTGCGTGATGACACCCAACCCTGAGCCACGCCAGCCAGGGCAATGGCCTGCACTCTCATTTTCTTAAGAGTGTCTTTTAAAAAATAGAAGACTTAAATTTTGATTAAATTTAGTCATCAATGTTTTCTTTTTAAAGATTTTATTTATTTCAAGACAGAGGGGAAGGGAGGAAGATAGAGAGGGAGAGAAACATCAATGTGTGGCTGCCTCTCACATGTCTCCTACTGGAGACCTGGCCTGCAACCCAGGCATGTGACTGGGAATCGAACGAGCGACCCTTTCGTTTGCAGGCCGGCATTCAACCCACTGAGCCAAACCAGCCAGGGCTAATGTTTTCTTTTATGATTAAGTTTCTTGCTATGAGAAAACTTTGCAGCCAGTTTTAATTTTCCTGCTTCTAATTCTGTACTCATCAAAATAAGCTGAAAATTCAACAAAAAATTTAAAAAGCAAGGAGACAAGAAGACATTGTTCTAGGGAAGGAAATCCAGATTTTCATTAGCAAGAGTATATATACTGTAAGTCAATGAAATATTATCTTCAAGTTGCTGAAGGAAAGTATTTGGAAACTTAGAATTCTGTAATGTCCAGTGATCATTTAAAATTGAGAAAAAAATAAAGACATTTTTCAGACAAACAGGACCTAAAAGTTTACTGCTCAAAGACCTTTGGTAATTACTAAGGGCATACTTAAGAAAAAAGTGAACATAAATGGAGCAGGACGTAAGAATCAACCATGAGCACAGAAACGGAAAACAGCTGAGTCAAAATAAGTAAAATGTATTGTAAAATATGAACCTTCTTAAAATAACAAATCAACACACAGAAATCTTGTATGACATTTTATACATTTATTCATTGCTGAGGGATACATATTAAGGTGACATTTCTGATAGTGAAACTACTTAAAGCTATATCCTGATACATTTAGGGGATTTGGGCAAGCTTTAGTCTCCTTTATAAAACATGACTTTTCCAACTTACCTACACTTCTCAACAGAAGTCATTCCTTTCTATCTGGTAAGCACAAGCTCTTGAAGAAAATGTTTTCTCTGAATTTCTAAAGTTTATATATATAAACTGTTCATCATTCAATAAAAGCATATTTACAAACCAGGCAAAAAGGGCCTCTGGGCAGAATGCCCACCGCACCTCTTCCTCTGATCCTGCTCTGAGGCTAATTTCTTCATCAGAGTCTTCTAGAATAGTACTTCCAAGTCCCACTTCCTTCCACAAATCCCGATCCCTTCTAACCATAGCTATTATTAACAGATGCAGCTTTTTATTGCTCTGGTTCTTTTACAGATCTCCCCCCCACCAAATATACTACATGCTCCTTGAAGACAGTTGGTCTTTTCATTTCTGTGTTTATCTGCAAATACCTTGCACAGTGCCTGTCACACAGTAAGCATTTGATATATCTGTTGAATGAATGCATGAATAGTTTTATGGCTTTTTTATTTAAAAATTATTCATAATTTATTTTCAAATTACATTCAGTTTGAGTTCAAACAGTTCAAAACCATAATGTTTCAGGATGCTTTGAACTGTTGAAACAACTCAAATATACACACACTTTAAACTCATGAGTAAAATTTAAAATTTTATAAATGTTAATAGTGCTTTATATTTTGCCTATATTTTATAATGCATTACTACAGACACATACCAGTTGAATTATCTGGTAGGGAAAAGTTATCCTACCTATTTTCAGAAATAAAACTGACATAACTCATCAACAACTTTATGGGAAAAATGACAGGTACAAGTTCTGGTACACTAGGAAGCTAACTAAAAAAAATGGGTTTGGAATCATAATATATCAGTGGATATATTTGAGTATAAAAACAAATAGTTTAAATTCTCATTAAAACAACTTCAAATTTCTCTATGTACAACTGGCAGAAAGATGAACTGTCAGCCAATATATGATAAATATACCAATCACATTCCCAAATATTGAAAATGCTGGGTGGAAATATTAAAAAATCTTTTCTGAAAAGACATATAATCAAACGAGCCTTAGA